GAGATTTCATTTTTCCGGCTGCAAATGCCCATAAATCTTTCCAGGGTTTACTTTACGTCCAATCCCAAATAACTTCTTCCTATAGACTTTTAAATAGTAATTACTCTTGCCTAACTCGTGTTTCCCTGTTTCTTTCCAAATTCCTTTCATGTTTCATCTATTCTAATTATTTTCTCAAACACTTAAAACTGACTAGTCATTAGCCACTTCTAAAATGTACAGCATGAGTATCATCACATTATCACTGCTCAAATCACTCCATCTTACAGTTATGTGCAGACCTTCAGTTACCAAATGTATGGAGCAAACCCAGATGTAGAAGTGGAGAGTAAATACACACACACGAGGACAAACACTCTCATGGGGGAAAGACCAGGCTTCTAACGCTAGACTTGCAGTGCTGAATCCTAACTTTCTCACTACTGGCTCTGTAACCTTCGATAGGTACTCAGCCTCGTTTTGCCTCAGTTTTCTCATCTGTGAAACGGGGATGCAAATAGTATCCATGCTATAGGGTGGTTCTGAGATTTAGGTTAGTTAATTAATGCAAAGCACTTAGAATGGTGTCTGGCATACAACATTAGTCACCGAGATAACGTGCACACACACTCTGGCTCCTGTCATTCAAATGTCGATACTAGCAACATTTTATTAATAGCAATCACTTTTAATCTTTACGCCTGTCCTTTAACAGTAAAATGATCATGAAACTGCATATTGATGATCCTCATTCCCTTGGGACAAAACGGACTCAATATATTTTATTATTAAGTTACTGAATTCTTGTTTCTGAACATCAGTAATAATTTGTTAATTCTCATTTACTGTCTGCAAAATTGATTATTCACAATACTTCATTCCTGGATAAGCATGAGACCCCAGAGCGATTTATTACCATAACTGCCTCATTGCCCAATACGAGACAGCTGTGAGGTTTGAAAAATTCTCCCCTCCTTTCTTTCCTAGGGTCAAGGCATTTTACCTCTCTGTTGTGAATAAAAAAAGCTAAAAGTCAGGAATATTGATTGTAAAACTGCACTGACAACCCACAGGAGTAACTATGTAGGTTTTAGTGAAAATGATGTCTGAATCCGATTAAAAGCCTATGTTAACTGTTCTCATCACTGTGTTATATCCTCTGCTTCCATTTTACAATAAAAACCAAGATGATTTCAGTTGTAAAACAGTTTGTAAAGTGACTGTATTTTCTAAAGCAGTGATTTGCTTCTTCTAAATTTTTATTTAAACCTGTACACATCCCCCTTACCAATAAAGCATTACGCACACAGTGCTTTCTAAGGTATATATAACAGGTACAGAAATTCTAGTACATTTCTTGTCACTATTAGCTTCAATTTTTCCTAAAAAGACCAGAAAATGGGAAAAATGATGGGAGTCCAATTTTTCAGTTTTAAGTACATATGTAATATTAAAAACACATGGGTACTTCATCTCTTCACTAAAACTCCTTTCATTTCCAAGATCAAGTGAGCAACTGAGGCTAATCCAGTCATAACATGAATGAGGTATTATGAAACTGGGCAGCCTACCTCTGTAGCTTTTTTTTATAGTCATGAAGCAGAAACAGAATCATATGACTATGGGGTTTACTATGGATTAATGCATGGTACGAACAAATTAAGAACTTCATAATCCTGTGACAAGCAAAGAAGAGTCTGAGGGGAAGTGGAAAGGAGGCAGACAAGTGTTCAGTCAAGCTGAGAAAATGCTAACATTTCACAGTATTAAGTTTAGAACCAGTTGCACTCCCTTTCTTGAAGTAAGTTACACTTAGCTCTAGAAAAATTATTTATGATTTGGCATTCCTACAATACTTTCTATGGCAGGCTTTATGAAAAGACTATTATTAAAATGAAAACAAAATTAAAATGAATAAATTTTGCTTTATTCTCTGCTATATAGGACTTACAGCAGAGATTTCTATGTCTTATCCCCAAGTTCACGTAACCAGCTAACAGACTACATTTATTATCCTTCCTTGCTGACAGGTGTGACCATGTAACTATGTTCCAGCCAATGAGACGTAAGTAGAATTGAAATGTTGAGTGGGGCTTCCAGGAAGTCTTTTAAAAGGGGAGGAATGCATTCTTTTTGCCTCTTTTTCCTTTCTGCAGCCTGAAAAGCTGATGAAATGCATGAATCTTTAGCAGCTATCTGGCCAAGAGGTAGAAGCTAGTGGCTGAGGGATGCTGGAACAGAAAGAGAGGAACTGGGCTCCTATTGACATCCTGAGGTCACTGTATCAACCCTGGACTACACTGGCCTTCTTTTACATAAGAGAAAAATAATCTTATTTAAGTCACTGCAATTTTGATTCTTTTGGGTATATGCAGCAGAACCTAACCCTATTCTAAATCCTAATTCTATCTGACATTAACTATCAGATCATACTTCTATTGGGGAATGAAACTTAACAAAATAGGATGGTAATTTAAAGTTCTAATTAGTAATAATTATGAAGTTTTCTCATACAAACTACGTAATGAAACTTGCAAAAGCTTTCATTGTAGACTGACAACAAATGCTCAATAAATACCAATGTTGAAGAAAGTGATAAAATTTTAAAGGTTTTCTACAATAAATTAGTGTTTCCCAAAATAATATAATTTTGGACAAGTTAGCAACAAGATATTTATAAAAATATGACACTAAATTTGGTGAACAAAGTTAAAGAAATGGAATCCTTATTTTCTAAAAGGTATCACTCTTTGGAAGACAATATGGGGAACACACACAGTAACATACAAATCTACACATAATTATGTAAACACTGCTTTGACACACAACAGCAAGTATTTTTATTGTGTTAAAATGTTTATGAATGCATTTTCTGGCAATAAAATTGCAATAATAAAGACACCATACTTGGTAAGATACAATAATGGGAAGAAAAGATATTGACATGATTTCATGTGTCAAATTAGCTTTAGTTTCTTATGAAACTTTAGTTTCATGCTATTTAGACTGTCTGAACACTGGCAGGGGAAGAAAAGCATTTTACTTATGAAAACATTGGAGGAGGCAGTCCATTTTATGTGGGAATAATGGCTTTTTAACAGAGCTCAATTAAGAGACATCAGGACTCCTGCCTCAAAAGCCATTAGCAAATTTATCTGGCAGATGTTATGCTACATCATGAAACAATCTAAACTGCTTAGTATGCCAATTTGGCTAAGATACTTGCCATATAAGCTGCTTTCAGGAGCCAGCAATAAGTATCATAAATACTTAAAGATAAAAAGTCGAAGGATACTGGCATTCAGAGGAGAGGACACTGTTAACTCATATTGCCAAAAAATTTAAACACACTTGCATTTTGCTTTGGAGTCAAATTTCTTTTCCATTTCCATTTCTATTTAACCTTTAGTTTCTCAAATAGCCCTGGCAGTAGAGGGCCTGACTGATGGTCTTCCCTAACATTGTCAAACTATTAATTCAAAACTGAAGTCAATCTCCACTTCCTTTCCCCCTAAAGCAAGGTGCCTTATAATATGTAATAATATAAGCTCACCTGAATGAGTGAATAGGATAGAGGTTTAATTCATTCTTTTTATAGATAGGGAAATAAATCTAGCCATCTGTCTCAGTATCTTTTTTTTTGCCAGGAATAACAAAATAATAAAAACTCCTATTAGGAAAAGATCTACAAGTCTGGGCTTTAAACAGTGTGGAAATCAAGAGGAAAGCTAAAAATAACCATGCATTGTACCTGTCCTATTTTGTTCAAATTCTCACAATTTTAAATAGAGAACAGTAATGTTCACTTAAATGTTAACTGTTGTTGTAACTTCCTTCTTGAAGCAAAATACTTTCACATTTATTCTCATCTTTAACACATCTTGTGTTAAGTTTCTAAAATCACCCCAAATCATAAAACTAAGCTAAGAGGGAGGGCCCAACATTAACTAGTCAATTCCTCTTATTTTATAAAATACTGACTTTAAACATCCCTGAGACTATAATTTTATTCTGATTTTTATCTGCCTTCCTGTCTTCATAAGGACAGAGAGAATCACTTGCCATTACCAAAAGGTTTGCTTTTAGTAAATTCCTGCCAGAGAAAAGCTCTCAAAGTGCAGTCCATAGAAGACTATCTACATCAGGACCACTGAGGCTTGCAAAATGCATATTCCTGGGCCCCGCTCAAGACCTATGACACTGATTATCTCCACTGTGAGGCTCAGGAGCCTGCATGCTCATGACAAGCACCATTGCCTTAAAACGAAATTTAAATTCCTCGAGCTGAAAAGTTGTTCCACTTTGTCTCCTTTTCAGAGTAACTGGAAAACACTGAGTCTCTAAACTGTGCATCTTTGAGATTATAAAGCTATCTTTCTGTCTCTCTTCATTAGTAAACTAACTGAAGTTCTTCAATGTTCCTTCTTTCCTCTGTCTCTCTCTCACTTCTTTGACATCTATGTACTATTTCTTCCCAAACTTCTCCAACCTCTCAATGACTAGCAAAACAGTGAATGCAAACCAACCAGCAGTGACTATTTAAGATGATTAGTTCATGGAATCTCTGGTTTACTCTGTGTTCATGTATGGATCCCTGTTATGTGGTAACTTTTTTAAAAAAATGACACATCTGGGCATGTTTTATTTTCTGTGGATTAATTCTCTGTACTTCTGTTTCACACACTGTATTCTGAGACTCCTCCCAACTCTTCCCACTGACATTCCATCTCCAAATTAACTAGGTAATGCTAAACATCAATTTTTCTTTCCACAAGCAGCCATCCAAATTTGTGGCAGGTATGAATTCCATGAATATGCTTCCCTTGCCCTATATTCAGAGCACTGTTAGAGACCCAAATCCCAAGGCGAGGCTGAGAGCACCACATTCTCCCGGAAACAATTACTCATTCACAGACACAGGAAGCATGTGAGGGTGTCCCAGTCAGTCACACATTCTCACAAGGTGATGCTCTGGCCCTCCTCTACATTGCTCATGCCAGCGCACAGTCAGCACTTCTTACCTGCCCAGCCAGTGTAAACAGTGCTATCCCGGGGGTCTGCCGACTTTAGGCCCCTCTCCATTTGCTGAAGCAGCTCTCGAATCTTATTGTTCAAGCGTTGTGAGAACTCAGGAGTCAGCTGTAGATATTAAAGGGAAAACAAGTATCAAAAAATATGGACCGCTCAACTTCCTGGACTACAGGCTATCAACATAGGAGGGTACTTCATTTCCACTTAGGCCACTTCTACTGCCTGGGAGAACTGGAAAATTATTTTATTCTTAATAACCACAGATTAATAAAACTTAAAAAGTGCTATGACGTTTTCCTACTCAAGGCAGGAAATATTTTGTAACTAAATGTCTTACATCAAATTTATAATTAAATACTAAAGTAGACTGCTGATGAAAAACTGGCATGCAGTAATTTCCAATTAACAGGGAGCATCTGTTATTTAAGCCAATATTTCTTATTATAATAAAAGTCATCTTAATAAATTAAGCACAAGTCAGAAGATGTTTGCTGTTTTCCAGCTATTCAAGCGGCAGCAATGTTAATTCCCTAAGGAAACACTCTGGTTGCTTTTGTTATTTAAAAAATGAAGATAAACATTTATAAAAATCCATTTGTAAAAAATGGATAGACAATTTTTAAAAACTGTAAAAGTAGCATAAGAAAGTCAAAATAAATTCACGGACATCAGGAGGCTCAGGCAGAGTGGCAAGAACATCAGACCTAGCATCACAAAACCCATGCCCAGCACAGTGCCTAGCAGAGGAGGGGCTTCATAAATACTGCCCAATGAATGAGGCTGGCTACATCTTTATCCACCATTAGCTGAGTGATCGCGCTCTACTCATAACTTCTTTATGCTTCAATTACCTTTATAAAGTCAGGATAGTAATACCTGCCCCACCAATGTCAAAAGATACTCTGAGGATCAAATGAGATTGTGTGCCTAAGGTCTCTCACATTCAGGGATGTAACTGTTGATATTTTTATAATTTTAAGCAGTGCAAGGGTCTATAACAAGTAATAATTTGGGTATGGATTAAAAAGCACACGAAAGCTGGGGTTGTGGGGTAGTGATATCCATACGAAGGCCCACAGATGCTGGGCAAACTGTGAGGTCCACAAAACCACTGTTATTCATCCTAAAGGCAACTGAAAAATATTTTGCAAGTTCTGTATACACTGAATCATCAAGTGTCTTAAAAGGTCACTTTACTGTATCCCTCCACAATTTTAGAAACCTGCTGTGATTCCCAGACTTGGATTTTACAGAGCAGTAAAATTTCAAAACAATGTTGGGGAATACTACATGGGCACAAACATTTCACTTCACCATGTAAGGATTATAAAAACAAACCTAACTGCTACCTGTTAACATCATAATCTCATTTTTTAAAAAGGGCATATTAACACTGGAACAAGAAAGAAGGCAGTTTCAGAATTATTATAAAAATATATTAAATTTTACTTCTGAAGAGCATCTCTGAGAAGGCAAATCAGACTATCAACCATATCTGGATAATTTTTCTGAAGTACCATGATCCCTTATTTCACACTCTGAAGAAGAAACCACATCGTTTGATGGACATGCTCCCATTATTCAACGATTTCTGCCAAGAGGTTAAGATTTCAATAAGTCTTGAAAATACATTTAATAAGGTAAAATATACTTCAATATTAATATAAAAGGTCTATAAATCTCAACTAGACAGAGGAGTACATCTATATGAGAACATGTCATCTTCCGTTCATAGATCATGGATAATTTATCATCTTGCCTGGCCTTACTTTGAGACCAAAAATGAGAACACCTCAGTCTCAGGAAGGGAAGTTACTTTCTATTTGTCACATAACTGCATTTAATAAAGGTGACCTGCCAGAGAATATTGATTGCTTGTAGCAGACCACAAAATTATTCAAACTCTAGCAATAATTTGCAGTCTCCAAAAGCCCTTTTTTTTCTGATAGATGCCAGAAAACAGACCAATTCCTTGTTGAAATGTCTGTTTTAACAAATTAAGGAGGACAGATCTCCAGAGTCTGAATCTTGATGTTCAACATTAAACAATTTTAGAACTGGTATGCTAGTTTCTTTCTGGAATCTGTCCAAAATCATGTGTTAGGTGATAAATTATTTTTTTGGGTCAGAGTTCAAATGTGTGAATATATTTTTTTCTCTCTTAAAATGGTTAAATTTATAAAAGCATTTAATTTATAAACAGCCTGAATAGTGAGATATATTTTATTGAAGGCTTCTGTCATTAGGATAAATCCTCAAGCGTTCTCTTTGCCAAGTCTGCATGAAACAGCAGGTCTTCCTCCAACAAGACAGGACAAAAAATCAGGATCTGCAGAGGTAGACAGAACACAGGTCCAAATGGCCAAAAGGAAGCCATTTGACGTCAAGATCATTAAAAGAAGCTTTGCTTGTGTAGTTCAATTTTGGTCTTAAAAAAAAAAAAAAATCAGGGGTGCCTGGGTGGCTCAGTCGGTTAAGCCACTTTCAGCTCCGGTCATGATCTCCTGGTTGTGGATTGAGCCCCGAGTCGGGCTCTGCACTCAGTGTGGAGTCTGCTTCAGATTCTCCCTCCCTCCCTCTCTCTCTCAAATAAATAAATAAATAAATAAATAAAATCTTAAAAAAAAAATCAGATTGACTCTAGATTCCTGTATATTTTGGTACCCTTCTATTCTACAACTCTTCTCCAGCTCTTTCATTCCTCCTACTTGTATTACTGATGTTAAATTAATCCATCGTCACAAATGTTTCCAGGGAAGAACCAAAAGAGCCACATAAAGTTAACTTGGCAGATACGAAATCTCTAAGGCCATTATATCTCATGTGAAGTGCTTTTCGTATGGTAAGCTTAGAAGAAATAAACTGGTAGAATTAAAAAAAAAATACGTGCGCACTTTAAAGAGATCACTCTTCCAACCTAACACACTCATAATTTCTCAGCTAGGTATTCTTAAAAAGAATTGTATTCCCTCTTAATTACGGTCACTCAAAGAGGCATGAGAAAATTATGTTCCAACAGGCCTGTGGGGTACCTTAAATCCAGCTTCTCTTTTGCTCTGTGGCTTATAAGTAACATTAAGTTACTATCACCCCGCCGTTCCCCCCCCCACCCCCAGGTGTGGGGATGTCCTGCAAAGAGTGGCAAAAGTAGGAAGAATTTCAGGCCTATGTCCCTAATTTTTCTCAGCACTTTGTTTGAAGATGTCTTTACCACACATCCCCGTTTACTCTCATCGTGGACCCTGCCCCTGTTTGCATGCAAATATAAAGCAATAACACGGCACATGTGACATACCACCAGGACTCCTCCCCTCCCTTTAATTTTTTTTTTTTTTAAGATTTTATTTTATTTATTTGACAGAGAGACAGCCAGAGAGGGAACACAAGCGGGAGTGGGAGAGGGAGAAGCAGGCTTCCTGCGGAGCAGGGAGCCCGATGCGGGGCTTGATCCCAGGACCCTGGGATCCTGACCTGAGCCGAAAGCAGATGCTTAACAACCGAGCCACCCAGGCGCCCCTCCTCCCCTCTCTTTAAAAAGCAAAGCAAAATTGATTTAAAAAAATGCCAAATCACATATAAAAACGACATATTCGCCAATTTTTATAATTTAAATTATTAATGACTGAGGCTATTTCAATTATGAATATTAATAACAATGACTTCTTACAGAAGCAGAACTCAAACTGTCTATTTTGACATGTATCTTATATATTTATCTTGAGATTACGTATATTTTTAAAGGGAGATACTCATCCCTTTCCTTCAGGCAAAAACTGAGCTCCTTTCTCAACACCAGGGGCTGGAGGTAGGGATGCAGGCAGATGTATCCCAAACTCACCCTCCCGGCAGAATCAAAGTAGCCTTCGGCCAGGGATTTGTTAAAATCGGCGTAAGGATTCGGGAAGGCCCTTTGAGCCATGACGCCGGAAGCGAGCCTGCAGAAGAGGGGAAAAAAAGAAGCTAGGTTGAGACAGGGGCCCCGGCCCTGTTGCGAGGGCAGCGGCCAGAGCCCGCGCAACACCCCCCTTCCAGCTCCTGGGTCACTGCGCAGTCTTGGTGGTCTGAGCGGACCCAGGGCCCACGGCCGCACGGCTGCTAGGCCGCGGCACCTCCGCGAAAAGGCTGCCAGGGCCCAGCGCCCACCGCGATGAAGGGACCCCGTTTTGCACCCTTCGTCCCCGCTCCTACGATTTGAAGCTGCAGCGGGCTCAGGGTCCTGAAGCCCGGCCAGACCTCGGCCTCTCAGCCTGCAGCCTCGGACACCAACAGCTGCGATGCTTTCACTGCCCACTTCCTGCCGGCCGGAAGGACCAATCAGAACCTTCGGCACTCTGGAGGCCCGCCCCCTTCTCATTTACAGTTTGTTAAAGAGACAGGAGGGTGATTTCTAAAGCATCTCGCCTGGTGGTTTCATTCCCGGTTAGCTGGAGTGGGGACGGAGCTTAGAGTAACGTGCAAATGTGCCAGGTATTTCCTGCCTTTCTTCTCTTTTAACTTTTAACTTTTTTATTTAAAAAAAATAATTCAAGTCCAGATGAGTCATAAGAATTAGGAATTTATCTGGAGAAGAAAAAAGACTGCTTTGAGGCCTGAACATATTCATATTTCTACTGCTCAGACTGAATAAAATGGGGAGGATAATGTCTCTACAGAGACCTTCCAGACTTTTTCTTTTGTTTCTTAAAAAAACTAAAAGAAGGAAAATAAACAAAACACTACTGCCACCATTAGCAGCATCAAGAACAAAAAACAGGGTATATGGAAGAAATGGATAATGGGTCCTTTGGAGATAACTTATGATAATTTAACCTCCAAGGCACTAAAGAAGAGATGTGAATGCCCAAGGGACAACCTACCAAATGGCAATTGAAACTTCAAGGGAAATGCACAAAATCACAAATCACAGCTCTTAAGAATTTTGATCTGCTCATTAGTCTAAATGGGACTGTAATACAGTATACTTAAGTCCTTTAAAAAAAATAAGACCAACAGAGCAGGATATCCACAACATTGAAATTCAATGTCTAACAGTCTCCATTATCTGAAAATCAATCCTTTCATTTAGACTTAAATCCCACCTGGGACACATTAGTCCCATTCTGTTGCTCAGAGGATTCCGGAATTCAATTAAAAAGTCATAGTCACTCTCTCTGCTCTTTCCCTTCCTCTTGTTTCAGTGAAGGAGTTGAGCATCAAACATCCAGTTGGTGAAGCTCAATCCCTACTTCACCCCCACCTTGGCCCAAAATTGTCCCTTTGTGGCTGCCATCTCAAAGCCTACTTCTGATCCCCTCCTGCCCAGTTTGTTGTTTTAACTGTTGTCTTCTAAGATATTAGTTAGCTCCTTCACCCAATTCATGAAGATTTAGTAGAGGCCCTCAGTGACTTTCAAATCGGTACCTTTCCTATTTTAATAGATGGGTGTGTGGTAGAGCAACTCATAAGAAAGAAGAGGAAAAGGGGCGAGAGGCATTTTATCAATTAATTGTCTTTAATTATTAATGGCTTACTATCAGTTTATCTCGTTCACAGTCTTTATGAGCAATTAAAATCAGTGTGGTATTTTACTAGAGGGAGAGTGGCAGCCTAAGACAGTAGACTGTGCTTGAGCAGAAATAAAAGAAGAGTGGGAAGGGAAAGATGGAAGGAGAGTAATGGACGAGTAAGATGGGAAGGAGGAAAGGAGCATCTTGGTCAGCTTGAAGGGCAGCCTCCCCAAAACCAAAGAAGTAAATAGAAAATGTAGTGAGATAGTGTAGGGGTTCTCAATCTCAGCCCTGTTGATATTTGGAAAGGGATGCTTCTTTGTTGTGGGACCCTGTCCCGTTCATTGCAGTATGTTTAGCAGCATCCCTGGCCCCTGCCCACCCAGGAGCAAGTAGCACCCGCTCCCCAAGTGGTGACAACCAAAAATGTTTGCAGACATTGCCAAATACCCGATATCCCTGTGAGGGGTGGGACAACAAATTGCCCGTGGCTTGTGAACACTCAGATAGTGTAACCAAAAATGTTTAATAAGATTAAGCAACTGTCTAATTAATTCCAGTGTCCTCATTGAAGATTTGCCTTGCTAGAATAATGCACTGAAAGAAATTCGGGAGGAGCTTGGGGAGGGAAGTTTTGTTGTATGTGTGTCTGTGTTTAAATTGCAGGTGCAGAAATGAGCTAATTATACTCCTTGGTTTTTAGTAATAACATTATCAGTGCATGCAAGACCCTATTCTATTTTAATTTTTCTCTTAATTCCCAGTTCCCACTCTTCTTCTTCTTCATCATTCTTCTCCTCCAGAAGACAATCACCACAATATGTTTAGTTTGTATATCTTTTGGAAAATATATCATGGGTTTTGTGGGTATGTACTTTTAATAAGTGGGATAGTGCTACAAATACCCCACCACTTGTGATTTATATCTCTCTGTGTCGCTCCACGTACCATTGGTAGTTTTAGATAATGTATTATATTTTCATAGTATGTCTCCACCTCATTTTACTTATCCTTTCCCCTAGGGAAGGGCATTGTTTCTAACTTCCACATCGCAAATAATACAGTCAGGTATATCCAGGCACATGTTCTCAGAGGGATCTGGATGTGAGTATTCCTGAGATAAATACCGCAGTCCGCCCTCATCCACGGTTTTGTTTTCTGCACTTTCAGTTCCCCGTGGTTTGCCTTGCTCTGGAAACAGATGATCTTTCTTGTGGCGAATCGTCAGAGGGTCAATAGTAGCCTAACACTACCTCACGATGCCTACGTCATACTCCTCGCCACGTCTCAGCACGTTGGCATTTTGTCATCTCACATCATAAGAAGAAGAGGAGGGGTGAGTACAGTAAAGCACAATACAGTACAGTACGATGTTTTGTCAGAGAGAAACCACATTCACATAACTTTTATTATATTTTTATAATTTCTCTATCTTTACTTGTTAATCTTTTACTGTGCTTAAGTTATAAATTAAACTTTATCATAGGTATGTATGCCTGGGGGAAAAAAACATAGTATATGTAGGATTCGGTGCTATCTGTGGTTTCAGGCATCCACCAGGGATCTTGGAACGTATCTTCCACAGATAATGGGGGACTACTATACCCAGAAGTAGATTGCTGAATCAAAGGACATCTTATACTTGGTTTCCCTAGTCCCTTTAGAATGCTTTCCAGAACTATTCGACTAGGTTATATTCCCTCCAATAGTATCTAATAGTTTCTGTCATTCCCATGTTCTTTCCAACACTAGTTATTATCTAGTGTTGTAGTTTTTGCAATTCTAACGGACAATGTGGAAATATCATTGATGCTTAAGCTTTCAGTATTTTTGTTGCTAAGGATGTTGAGCTTTGCTTCATACTTATTAGACCTCTGCTCATTCTCTGAGATTTACCTGTTCATATCCTTTGCCAATTTTTCTATTGGGTATGGTATTATTTTCTTGTTGATTTGCAGGAGTTGTTTTTGTTTTTTTGTGGGGGTGGGTAGGTTATTGTAGATACTAATATTTTTTGGCTTTAGATGTTGCAGAATCTCCTCTGGTCAGTTAGCTTTTTCAAGAGTATCCTTCACTGTACTATAATTCTTCATTTTAATGCAGTTAAACCCATCCAAGTTCGACATTGTGATTTGAGGATTTAGCTTCCTGTCCAGAAAGTCTTTATCCACTCCTAGGCTGCGAAGATGGTTTTCTGCATTTTATTTTATTATCTTTTTACTTTTTACATTTATGTCTTTAGCCTATCTGGAGTTCACTTTTGAATATAGCATGAGGCATGGATCCATACTTATTTTGGAGAGGGTATAGAATTGTTTTGAAAGTTCAGATATCATCCAAATATGAACAAGTTCTCTCTTTGTTAGCCAGAAGAACCCATCAATTTGAATTAGTAGAAATCATGCAGAACTCATTTCTTTTGTTTGTTTTGTTTCATTTTGTTAGAGAAGCAACCCAAAGAATTTCTCCATAGTTCTGGCTAAAAAGAAAAATGCTTGACCTTGACATACGTGTGTTAGTTTTCTAGGGCTGTCATAACAAAGGACCACCAGATTGGGTAGCTTAACTGTCAGAAGTTTATTGCCTCACAGTTCTGGAGGTTGGATATCCAAGGTAAAGGTGCTGGCGGGGTTGATTTCTTCTGAAGCCTCTCTCTTTAGCTTGCACATGGCTGTCTTCTCCCTGTGTCTTCACATGGTCTCTGTGTGTCTGTTTCCTAATCTCTTCTTAGAAGGACACCAGTAATAATGGATAAGTACCCACTCTAATGACCTCATATCACTTAATTACATCGTTAAAGAACCTCTGTCTCCAAGTATGGCCACATTCTGAGGTACCGGCAGTTAGGACTTCAACATATGAATTTGGGGCAGGGGGAGGGGCACGATTCAGCCCATATGAGTACTATTTTCATCTGTGGCTATGGTGGCTGAACACATTTGTGGTTAATATAGTTTTGATTGTTGATTTTTCAGGGCCCATTCCATTCCATAAATTCCAAATAATTTTTTTGGAAAAAATATAATAGTGTTCCTTTTCTTAAGTACCTTGTGTAAACTCTCAGGAAATAATCATTGTATTATTGCCTTTGAAACAGAATACTTCTAGAACTCTGGTAAGGTCTATGATAAACTGAGAAAATGGATATGGTCTGAGGGCTCTTCAGTTCTATTCTAAGACCTTAGTTTCAGAATATTATAATGTGTACTAGTTAGGGTGGAAGCTAAGTTACAAAGAAGCTCGAAAGCATAATCAGTGAAATAAATACATTTATTTTTCTCTTCATTTCATCCTACTGTTTTTTCCTCCCTCCTAACACAAGTGTGTTATCCTTGTCTGTAAGATCCATACTGGTCATGGCACAGCTGTATTCCAGCTTGTGGGAAGGTCAGGAAAACACAGGCGTGCATGTGCCTTTGGCCCCAGACCAGGGAGTGGAAAGCACCACTTCCACATTATGCCCCTGATGAGGATTCAGTCACATTGCCACCTCTAGCTGTCCAGAAGCCTGCAAAATAAAGTCTTCTGCTGAGCGGCTGAGTGGCCTGCCACAATGAAAGAAGGAGGACTAATTTGGGGGGCCAGTTAGTGGCTCCGATGGATAATGGCCGTTCTAGTAACTGCTACTATGTGTCTGCCATCAAAGGGGCAACATGGTTACCGTTTCTGTGGTGTTCCCTTTGCCACGCGGATCTTCTAGCAACCAAGCCTTCTCCCTTTCCTCCCACAATTTCCCTAGAGCATTCTTGGCAACTAGGTCATTGACCTTTGGTAGAAGGTAGATCAGAAGACTCCATAGTCTCTCTTTT